ATGCGTTACAAACAGTCGAAGAAGAAAGTGGGCAGTATAACCATGTAGCCGCACGGTGCTACCGCATGACTTGAGACTGAGAATTCAATGGCCGAAATTTTATTACCATGTGGCAGCACGAGTTATAACCATGCGACCGCATGGTTCATTTTTGGGCGCGATTTTCCTTTTTCTTTTCCGCGTTTATCCTTATTTTACTAGAATTTCATTTTTAATCAAACTCCTACCATATTGGACGAATATTTTAGGAATTTTGTTAGATTATCAAAATTATATTTCCTTTTGACTTCTATTCGAGGATTAGTATAAATAGGAAAATATTTTTCATTGTAAGAACTTTCAACTTTTGCTTGATTAGTATTATAGAGAGAGAAATTTATTCTTTCAATTTCTTGTTCTTCTTGAACAATCTTGGAACTTAGCAAGATTCAATTTCTTGTAGCGCTCTAAACAATTGGATTGTGGGTTCTTTTAATTGTAATCAAGGGGTTTTAGGTTTTTCGCTAATCTAGGGTTTCTTGATTCAATTCTTGGGATTCAAGATCCAAAATCGGGTTAGTATTGGCGTTCTTGGGTTCCACATCAACCTCGTCGTGGGTTTCGAAGTTTCCATTGCTACGGGGTTCGCATCAGCATTTTTTCTCCTAATCGGACCGGAATCGTTTAGAACCGGCTAGTTCAATTTCGGTTCTTCTAAAAAAACAATTTGATCTCGGAGCAAATTATTAAGAACGGACGAGTTCTCGATTCTTGTATGGGAACCGTCGGGAACCAGACGATTCTCATAGGATTTTTTATTTTCTTCTTTTTTTTAGTGAAATATATGACTCAATCTCCAATCATTTTTATAAAAAATAATTGGGTCCTTCTTAATTTTAGACTCCAGCACTTTTCCTTCTTGTCTGTGATTATTTCCTTCTCTCTTTAGATTTTTTATTGGTGAACATTTTATTTTGACATTTTCAACGTAAAGAACCAGATCGGACCAAATCGAAACTGATTGGTTCAATTCCAATTTAGTTCTATAGCTAACTATGGAAACAATGTTTCATTTCTAAAATTCACATTGGTATTCGATTCCCTTTAGAATTGGACAAAATCGGACCGCGCCCACTTGTATGAGATGAGAGTCAACAAAAACGGCTAGATGTAATGGTTAACGATCAAAATTTTCATTTTTTTCCTCCAATAATGGCCTCAAACAAGGGCTAATAGCATAATCAGTTGTTGTTATGAAACGAAACACGATTTAGTTATTTAAATATTCTAGACAAATATTGCAGATATTCAATAATGAGAACTCATGTAATATATCCAGGAATACTGTGTTGCTTATTTATACAAATCAATATTCTAAGATTTTAAAAGAATATTGTGTTACTTTAGAAGGAGTACAATTTTATATTTATTAATATTCTTGAATAATATTTTGATTGTTATTCTTGAAAATCATAAATTTATACACTTCAATGTTAATATTATTTTGGTTCTAAATAGTTAGAATTTTAATTAAACTGCTCATAAAGAAGAAAAAGTTTATTTATATCAATATTCCGAAAAATATTATTATGATACTTCAGAAGAACAATTAACTGCATTATATGGGAGAATAAATAATAATAAAAATTTGTCTACTAAATTCAAGAGAAATATAATAAGTTTTTAAAATGTGTCATGATTGATACTATAGATATTGATACAATTGAAACAAACACTCTATTGAATCAGAAATTCATTTACTGAGTAAATTATTGTTTAACATGATCGATTTAACCATTACTGGATCAATAATGAAATATAATTGAAAATTCATATAGACATTCAACGAAAAATAGAAAATTTTTCAATCCAATAAATTTATTTTATAATACTTGTTCTGTGTATCATAAATTGGTTTTGATTATCACTAGCTAACATTTGACTAAATTCTTAAAATTTTGAAAAATAATTCGGGTGATTTATGAGCCCTAGTCACCTTTTATGTTGGCAATTTTGAACCTTTATATACTCTTATTTGAGCCCCATTTTTTCAAAAATTTATTTTCAACTAAACATTTTTCAATAAAATAATTCTACACGTAAATCAAAATTTTTTTCTTACTCTCTAATCACACATTCTCCAAAAACTCACTATTTAAAAATACATTCTCTTTTCAAGATGGAGCTCAAACAAGGGCATAATAATTCAAACCCTAATAGTTGATATTTTATAACATGATTTGTTTATTGTCATTTAAGCATTTTTCTCAGCAGTACGAGGAATTAATAAGCTTAAAGATTATATATATAATGCGTCATTATCATATCTAGATCCTCGCAAAATATAATTCGAGTTAGAAGTTCAAAAGATAATTCATTTATATGCATTTGCTACTAAAACAGATTAATAATATCTCAAATACCACTTTTAAATGCTCCAACTCGAATTGATGTTATGTGAAGGACAATTCGTTCACATTATGTTTGATAAATATATGACATGTCTAAAGCGTGGTTGCCTTCAATTTTAAGACAATAATCTCCAAAAAAATAAAAATAAATAATAAAAATGAAGCAAATAAAGAAATTGGTCTCATTTAGAATGCGTATACTCTTGAAGAACATATCGAAATGACTAATTATAAAACTCTAGAAAGGTTTCAAGTATATGAAATATTGAAAGTCGAGATATCTCATTAAATTATTCATCATGAAAAAGAAATAGAATTAAAATGACGAAAATTGTCAACAATATTTTTGTATACAATGTATCACTTCATATTATAAATAGCAATGATATTGAAATAAATTCATTGAAACATATAGGTCGAAGAAATGATTAGCCAAACAAAAGGATGCAATCCTAGTAAAGTTGAATTTTCTAGGGAAAACTTAGGCCATGTTTGATAGGCCATGATTTTCATGGAAAATGAAAAATGAATTCCACTTTCTCACTTTGCCATGTTTGATGGCAATTTTTTCCATGGAATTTGTTTTCTTGGTTTTCTAGGCTATGCTGCTGATTTTTTTTTCGATTTTTTTTTTTTGTAATAAAAACAAATTTTATCCCTAATTGTAAAAAAATATTTTCCTTTAATTGACAATTTTCTTGTAAAATAAAGTTAAACGAACACCAAAAGATAGATTGTTTTCTTTTTTTTTTTTTTTTTGCAATGAAAACAAATTCTATTCTCAATACAAGTAAATTATATCCCTTTAATTGACAATTTTGTGTAAAACAAAGTCAAATGAACATCAAAAACACTTTTATTTCAATAATTTTCACATGAAAAATTATGTCAATCAAACACAATAATTGACAATTCCAATAAAACAATTTCTAGACAATTCAATTTCTTGGAATTCATCATCTTTCCATCCAAATTACATCTTTGCAATCAAATGGACCTTTAAAGTTTCTGAATATGTTGTCAAAGAATTTAAAGATGTATATTTATACAAAAAAGAAATGAGAAAAACAAAGTTATAATATGTAATACACGATTCTCAACATAATGGATTTTGTAAAGACCATGGTGGATGTAATCACAAGTCAACATCTTGTTATCTTGACATGACTATTGATATTATTTTTGAAGAAATTAATATGATCAAAGCATATAATTCAAGTGATAATATCATGACGAGAATAAATATGAGTTGTACTCCTTTTTTCTTGACTAAGATTTGGTCCCATTAGGTTATCATGATAAAATTTTTAATGAGGCAACTTTTTGTGTCGTATTTAAAGAAATAATGTACTTCTACATTAGGATTTTTTTCATAAAAATTTTCGTATTAAAGTTTTAACGAGACATATTCTTTATGTTATAAATGTTTATAAACTACATGATATTTACACTAAAAATATTAATCTTATGTGTATGGGACTGCTGAAAAGAGCAATTAGAGTTGTTTTCTGAATTATCGTATTGCTACAGCCAACAAAGGCTGATAAATATTTTGTATGAAGAAAATATTATTGGAAAGCTATAACAAGACAACATGAAACATATTTCACCAAAATTGTGACAAAAAAATTAGCATGCGAACATGGATAACTTGAAATTAGGATTTTCATTCATTGAAATCAAGGAGCTGGTGTATTCTTTTTCTTTAGTTCAAGTATTGTCATATTAGATTTTCTTAACAAAATTTTAACAAGACAACATTTTATTACTCCAATTTTACTATAATTCTTTGTCCTATTTTTTCCTTTGTTTGGTATTTTATCCCACTGAGTTTTTGCCAAACTAAATTTTTAATGAGGCATTTATTATGCAAATAGTCATCAAAGGGTAAGTGTTGTAAAATTATGATATAATTATTTTTGTCTATTTGATCTTATCAAAATACTTAAATAAATACTATTTACTCTTGCAAAGTCTATTTTAATCTAATTGTTAAACCTTATAAATTTAGTGCAATGAATTTCAATAAAATACACACTTAAGTTTTGGCTCTCTATTTTTTTTTTTTTTTTTTTTATATATATCTCTATTATTGCTTTAGTTTTATAACAGTTCGTACAAAGTATATGAAAAATAAGTTCAAATTTTGTTAACGGTGCGAGTAATTAACATAATCAAATTTCTTTCGGACCCTGAAAATTCTTTTTACAATTACAAGGATTCAAATAATAATAATAATTAAAGAGAATTGATCTAATGCTCATTAGATAATCAAATTTCTTTCGGACCTTGAAAATTCTTTTTACAATTACAAGGATTCAAATAATAATAATAATTAAAAAGAATTGGTCTAATGCTCATTAGATCCACTAAATTTTTATCTACAAATAAATGAATGAATAATGATGATTGAACAGGGGTTAAAAACAAGGAAAGTATGGACAGACTGAATTGTCACGTGTGCTCATTAAATCACAATTAAATTTGAAATCGGATTTTACGGGCAAATTCAAATTTAAATAAAAGTTAACAATTAATTTAAATTACATAGAATTCATAATTTTTTAAAGGTACATTTTATTAATTTTTAAAAGCGAACTTTGAATATTTTTTTTTTCTCTCTCTCTCTTTACGAAAGAAAATTGACGGGAAGAAGGAATTGAGGCTGTTTCGACCTCCGATTTCGCTCTCCCACGCTCTCTCAAATTGTTTTCATAATTGCTATTTCAATCGGTATTTCTTTTCTTCTTTAACTGTTTTCTGGATCTCTATTCCTTTGACGTGTTTTACGCAAGATAATTCTGGGAATTGAAGATTCGTAAAGCGATGTCGTACGCTTATTTATTCAAGTACATTATCATCGGAGACACAGGTATATATTTTGTTTGTTATCCTTATATCCGGTTAATGATTACTGCTTTATCGATTTTATACTATTTTATTTTTTTAATGATGTTGATTGATTGTTCTTGGCTTTTGTTGATCGGATCTAAAACTTAGAACGTGGCCTGCAATAGCTGCTATTGGTTATTGAATTGACGGTTATAGATCCTATGTGCCCATAGAGTATGTTCGAAATATACGTATGTGTCGTGTAATTCAGATCATATTCTTCTGGCAATCTTATGAACGATTATCATGGGTCTATTGCTGTTATTTTTCTATAAATTAGTTGGTCAACATCCAGTTTTTCTTTTTTCCTTTTTTTCTTTTCTTTTTTTTTTTTTTTTTAATTTTTTGTATGGTGCTGTTATTTTTCTATAAATTAGTTGGTCAACATCCAGTTTTTCTTTTTTCCTTTTTTTCTTTTCTTTTTTTTTTTTTTTTAAATTTTTTGAGCGGGAGCGGGGGAGGTATCAATCCTTAAACCCTATATCTCTTGTAGAAGCAATACATTGAGTTCATTGAAACCAGGACCATATGAATGCATAGTATAACTCATGAGTTTAACATGTTTCTCAGGTGTTGGGAAATCTTGTCTTCTTCTGCAGTTCACTGACAAACGCTTTCAGCCAGTCCACGATTTGACCATTGGCGTTGAGTTTGGGGCTAGAATGATCACAATTGAAAACAAACCAATAAAGTTACAGATTTGGGACACGGTTTGTTTATATGTTTCCTTTGCCTCTGTTTTCTGTGCGTTTTCTAATTCGATATCCTTGCGGGCCTTTATTTGCCTATAGCTGCAAAGTTGATAGGCTAGTGAATTAAAATAATATAACTTATCTAAGTCCTAAATAATTACTTCTTCCCGAAACTTAGCTTCTCTACAATGAGATATACTTCAATAGAAATTGCTGCATCTGTAACCAAAGTTATTCCTCACTATTTCAGGCGGGCCAAGAGTCATTCAGGTCTATCACGAGGTCTTACTACAGAGGTGCTGCTGGGGCATTACTAGTTTATGATATCACAAGGTACTTTGCTAATTGAATCTTTGTAAACATCCCCAACATTCATCATGGGCCACATGACTTATTTTGTCAAACAAATGTTCTTTTCGAATTTAATAAGATCCTTTGCGCACGAAACATTAGATTTCTGTAGTGTTTTCCTATTTAAATTCGAGAAATGGTGGGAAAGTAGAACTGAGTGATATATTGATGGATGAACCAGTTTGTTAGTCTTTGTGTGCTTTCACAAGGTGTCCATCTTGAGAATGGAACCAAGTTCTTTATTAGACATGAGTGTTGAATAATCAACCTCCAATTGGTGGAATTTCGGGCTCAGGTTACCAATCTCGACCTTATCAATACACCCAAGCAATCATGACCCAAAACCTTAAACTCTTCCACACTCCAGTTGCTCAAGATTTGTACCCACTTAGGACACAAAAGGGAAAGCGTTTGCAGCCACAAAGGCCAGAGAAGAATAAGAAGAAAACCGGCTAAAAAGAAGCACAAAGCAAAGAGGCAGGACTTGTTTTTTCTTTCAAACAAAAAACACACATTAATGACAAACAAAGGAGGCTAGCATATATATAGGTTAGGTTAGGTTAGGTTAAAGTGATGGGCCCAAGCCCAATACAAATTCGGTAAGTGGGCCAACATATATAATCCATCCAATGAGTATAGAAACTGGGCCATAAGCAACACTAATTAATTAGGTTGCTTCCAATGGTCCAAATAATTTTAGGGTTGGGTCATCAATCTTGGGTGTCGATATTTAATTTATCCAATATCGATTTAACATTATCGCCCATGATTATTGGGTATTAAAAATCAACAATCTCCACCTTGATGTCTAATAATTTGCAAGCAAACAAAACACACAGTTTATACTTGCACAAGCAAGATAATCCAATAAAATTGGTATCACAGACCTTACCTCGTATTTCGAACTTGAAACATTTACCTTACGTGCTCCATGTACTCATCAGAGCTAAGGTCCAAAAAAACTCAAGTAGGAACAAGTATTCACTAGGCCTGGGCGTGGTTTAGTTTGGATCGGTTTCAACCTCAACCTGAAATCAAAACCAAATTAGTCGGTTTGAAAAATTTTCAACCAAAACTTACCCACTCTAGCTCTTAAACCAAACCAACCAAAACCAAATCGGTTCGGTTCGGTTTCGTTTGGTTTGTCGGTTTAGACTTTTAAATATTATCGCATAATAAAAAATGAAAAGTTATGCAAAAAATAATATATGCCATTCAATTTAACCACTCACACTGACATAGACAATAACCAACACATAACCATAACCAAACCGAATCTTCGTCAAGCTTTTTTCCATCCCAATATAATCCAAATTCAAGAGTAAGAAAATAAATTTTATGTTACAAGAAAGAAACTCAAGCACAAAAAATAAATTTTGTTAACATCTAATGTATAGACTCGAGGAAAATAAAATGTCCAAGAAAGTGAAATCGAAGTTCCAAAAGTTGTCTACCAAGCACGGCCATCATCTTGAATCACCTTCACCTACAAAACTTGGTAACTTAAATTATATTTCATTGTAAAGATATGATCAAATGCGATGCAAAACAATAAAATTACCTTACGCAAACACCTAAAATGACTTATTTATCTTTGATGTTGGAATCTTCATCCGTTTTCGTTACTTCCGAAAGATCTAAAAAATAAAATGATTCAATTAGTAGTAAATGAATTTGAAACACATGTAATTAACACACTTAATGAAATAGTTAATTAATAATTATCTTCATCCAATTTATTATAATACTCTACATCCTCCATGTAAAATTTGTCTTCGCTTGGAGTAGATTTGAGTTAGTTTTGAGTGCAAACTAAAATCTTGACCATCTTAGCAGTTAAAGAACTACGAAATGGGTCTAGAATTCTTCCCCCTGTACTGAATGCACTTTCTGAAGCCATTGTAGACACTTGAATTGCCAACACATCTTTTGCAAGTTTGGACAATATTCTATACTTAATTCCATGTACCTTCCACCAATCAAGGACATCAAACTCCTCCTCTTCTATATCTTCACAAGCATCCAATAAATATCTTTCCAAGTCATTTTTTTATCTCAACTGAATCTTTTGCTGCTTGTTGTTCTTTAAACTTGGAAATACGAGTAGAACATGCACTACAAGTGGAATTGACTTGACTTGTAGAAGATAACCCACTTGTAGATGTATCCATCGATACTTGACTTCTTCGTGGACTTCCCTCATACATCACATACCAGTCATAAATTGAAAACAAATTTTCCTTCAATGTTTGGGTCATTGTATCAGCCATTTTTTTATCATTATAAATATCACAAAAACAATACTGAACATAATCCAATTTATATTTGGGATCAAATACGGTAGCAATCAACAACATTTGATTGACATTGTCCATATTCCTCCAATACTTATCAAATTTTCTCTTCATATTAGCAGCCATTTCACCTAAAAGATAATTTTTACTTGAACTCCAATCTGCTAAATCCGCTACAAATGAACATATTTCATAAAGATAAATTGTGGAGCTAACATGTAATGAAGTACTGAACTTTAAAGTGATTTCATAAAGCCCTTTAAGAAATTTAACAAAAATAGATGAATATCACTTACTAAAGGGGTCCACCTCTTCTTCTACCACCATCATCCTCTCGAAAATAACTTAAGTAATATCCATCCTCCTCTTCTAAGTGCTCGAAAGCTTTTTGATACTTCAAAGCAGCCTCCAACATTAAATAGGTAGAATTCCACCTTGTAGGCACATCTAGAAACACAAGTGATTTTGATTCGATCTTTTCTTTAGTTGCGCACTCTTTCAATTTTTCGTATCTAGCAGGTGAGGATTTTACATACTTCACTGCATTACAAATACTAACTATAGAATCATGTGCTTCTTTCAGCCCCTCACGCACTATCAAGTTAATGATATTTGCACAACATCTCATGTGTAAATATTTTCCATCCAAAACACACCCATTATTACCCTAACCAATCATCTTCCTTCTAAGACATGAAATAGCCGTTTCATTTGCACTAGCGTTGTCCACTGTGATTGTAAACACCTTGTCAAGGCCCCACTCATGCAAGCAACTTTCTATAACCTTGCCGATGGTTTCACCCTTGTGATTAGGTATCACACAAAAATTCAAAATTCTTTTCTTAAGCATCCAATTAGAGTCAACGTAATGGGCTATAAGAGACATAATTTATATTTTGAATGGATGTCCAAGTATCTGTAGTAAGTGAAACTCTTTGACGTTGAGTAGTAAGGTTCTTTCTCAACTCTAATTTCTCACTTAAATATAGTTGGTAAATATCCCTCACAATAGTCCTACGCGATGGAGGATCAAATTTAGGACATGCTACACTACAAAAGTGTCTAAATCCCATCCCTTCAACAAAACTAAAAGGTAGTTCATCGACAACCACCATTCTTGCGCATGCTAATCTACCCGCTTCCTTACTAAACCCAATAGCCATAAGATTGGTCCCACCACCAGTTTGTTTATCAAAACTTAAGATTTTTTGCCTTTTGTCACCCACCCTACCAGGATACTTTTTACAATGTTTAACTAAATGACATTTTAAAGTACTAGTTTCATATTTCTTAGTCCCACAGGCATAAGATTGCCCACAATATTTACACTCACACCTGACATCTTCAGCTTTTGGATCTCCCATTATCGTGAAATGATCCTATACATCCGAAGTTTTCTTGTTATGCTTTCTCTTCCCTAAACATGACGGTGGAAGTGGAGGAAGCTTCGTAATATTTCTACCTGGAATTGATGTTGCTGGGTTTTCACCAATGTATTCACACTCATTGTCAATATCCATATTCAAACACCTGCACATAGTGTACATGTATTACATTAAAATTCAGATTTTAGTTACTAAGGCAAATTAAATAAAATGACAGATTACAGTTTACAAATAAAGGATTTTCAGATTGTTAATTTACACTTACAAGTTACAAAGATTAAATAGAAATATGAATTCCACAATCTCAAATATGGATTACAAATTTAAATAGAAACAGTTTATAGATGCGTTCCACAATCTCAAATATAGATTACAGATTTCAAATTACACATACAAATGCAATATATTTCAGATTTCCACGAGATAAAGCAGGGGCACAACCGCTTAAGAGCTAACTCAATCAATAAACTCCATGACAAGAGATTTGTATAAATTATAAAGCCAACAGAAAGAAAAATCCAGACATAAATTAACACTCAAGCAAAATAGTCAAAACACAAAAATCGAACCAGATCAAATGAGGAAACGAATATTAGATTACCTTGCAGCTACGAAGTCGGACTGTCGGAATCTCGGTGAGTTGAAGTTGATTTTAGGCTTTAGGAGTAATATAGGAGCTAGGAAAAAACGTTCGAATTTGGATTGCAACGGGAGTTGGAGACGGCGACGAGAGATTGGAGAAACCGACTATAATGAGATTAGTTTAGGATAACTGAGTGATGGAGTGAATTGTGATTTGGAAGGGAAAAAAAACCTTCGTGGATTAGGCCAGTTCGGTTTCCCATCAATTTGAGCCTTCAAACCATGAACCGAACCAACCCAATTTGGTTTTGCTTTATAAAAACTAAACCAACCCGAACCAGTTCGGTTTGATTAGTTTAGGCGGTTTACCGATTTTTTTGCCCAGCCCTAGTATTCACAGTGAACAAATAATCATGCGATGAAGATATTATATAGGATAATACACAGATCTTTTTAAAATCTCGTTCACATAGAGCCAAAGATTAACATCAAGTTAATCAGCACACGGTCAAACACATATGCAACAAATGCATAAATGACCCCACGAAAGATCTTACCACACTTATCCTATCCCATTTCGTGTTACTTCCACCTCGAGAACACATATCTCTCCTCATCGCCCACCATGCTCACTAGATAATCACTCAACTCATGTCTAAGTCGCAAGTCACGATAAATCCTAAGCTATCAGGATAATCCTCTATCACCACATCACTTCTCCCAACCTACGTGGATAATGGGTCTCCACCTTACCGAAGTGATAGAAATGTCTCTCTCACACTCCACCTGTACAAGGTCTCTTTCACAGATAAAGAATTCTAAACATTTGATCACATTTTCACTCGTTATCTAAATGTCACATTCTACATCCCCGGTACAAACCACAATGTACCCCTAGGCATTTATACTCCACCTTGCCAAAAGACATACAACTCATTGCTAATGCATCCTAACCCATTATGCATGCAAACAATCACATCAATTAATCACATTACCTCAAATTCATGCTAACACACATATCAAACAAATTGAAATGCAGCATATAATCATGCAACAGAATTAGGCAATCACACATATGTAGAAAGGATCACACACGGGTGCATATGCAACAACTAGGTTTACTCTCAATAAACCTCACTAGGGTCATAACTCGACCCCTCAACTACATTCGTCTCACCTCTCACATTACCCCTCTGCTTATCCTTCTTCTTGGGATAGTCCTTAATAAAGTGTCCAAACATACCACAGTTGTAACACCGTTTACCACTAGACTTGTCCCATCCTTTGCCCTTCTTCTTACTAACTTCATCACTCGAGTCACTAATCGAATCACCACTATTTTAAGCTCTACCTAAATTCATTTGCTTAAACTTCATCATACTCCTTATCATGTGTAACTTCACCACTCCTCTTATTTTCATTTTCAGCCTTAATTTCCGTTTCCTTATTCCTAAGTGAGTTTATGACAATCTCGAGTGTTAGGGTGTCCTTACCATACTTAATTGCATTCTTAACCCCTCTATATGAATCAAACATGGAATTAAGTAAGATAATTGCTTTATATGTTTCGAACACCTTTTTATCACAGTTAACAATGTCTTGAACAAGTTTGTTAAAAGTATCTAGATTGTCGTCAAGATCCTTTGAAGGATCCATTTTAAAACTGAAAAATCTTTCAAGTAAGTACAACTTATTAGGAGTGGACTTAAGCAAATATAAGTCCTTCAACTTTTTCCAAAGTTCTTTTGTGAAACCCAATTTTCCAACCAAAACAATGTCTAGTAAATGTAAGATAATCGAAGTGTAAGCAAGTTCATCGTATTCCTTTTTTTGTGTTTCTGTCAAATTTGAGGAAAATTTGCGATCTATGGCTTTCGAAACTTTTTGTTGAATTAAAATCCCCTTCATCTTTTGTTGCCAAATTGAAAAATTCTCTTTCCCATTGAAAATACCACTTCAAAATGTGAAGACATTTTTGGGAAAACAGAGCAACTAAATGCATAGATAGGTCACAAAAAGTAATCCTACGGCCGCAATAACGTTGTTCTAGATTCCCAGGATTTCGTAAGATTCGCGATCTTAAATCAAAAGAATTTTCGAACGGGTCACGTAGTGACTATATGACAATTACAACACAAATTCAATTACTAACTTGCAATCAATTTCAACACTTCAAATAGAGCAGATAATTCCTAAATTTTCTAGCACAAGCAATAGGACCACCACTATTCGTCCTAGAGTTCAGCAAATGTGCCAACACGAATGTCTAGCAACCAACAGCCGAGGGTCCAAGGGCAAAGTCGTCCAACTTTTTCTATATATCCTGAAACTGAAAACTAACACAAATCGTTAGAAACACGTTAGAAAAATTGTGTGAAGAAGTCATCACCGGAGGAGCCTCCACGCGCCTCCACCGTCAGCGACCATCACCCTGAAGCGCTGGCCACCCAGCACTGCCTTCATTTGCAGATCACAAATCTGGCCTCCGTTTCACCAAAAGACATCTGGATTGGCCAAAAATTGAGGTTGCAGGTTCAGTTTTTTTTTGAAAAATTTCTAGACAGTTTAATCTAGCTGGTTTTTGCTTTGATTCTGATCAGAAATTCCACCCCAACCTCACTCTAATACCAAATGTTGAATAATTGACCTCCAATTGGTGAAATTTCGGGCTCAAGATACCAATCTCGACCTTATCAATACACCTAAGCAATCACGACCCAAAACCTTAAACTCTTCCATACTCCAGTTGCTCAAGATTTGTACCCACTTAGGAGACAAAAGGGACGGTGTTTGCAGCCACAAAGACTAGAGAAGAACAAGAAGAAAACCGGCCAAAGAGAAGCACAAAGCAAAGAGGCAGGACTTGTGTTTTCTCTCAAACAAAAAACACGCGTTAATGACAAACAAAGGAGGCTAGCATATATGTAGGTTAGGTTATGTTAGGTTAAAGTGATGGGGCCAAGTCCAATACAAGTACTGTAAGTGGGCCAACACAAGTACAGTAAGCGGGCCAACATATAGAAACCATCCAATGAGTATAGAAATTGGGCCATGAGCGACCCTAATTAATTAGGTTGCTTCCAATGGCCCAAATAATCTTAGGGTCAGGTCATCAATCTTGGGTGTCGATATTTAATTTATCAAATATTAGTTTAACATCATCGCCCAGATTATTGGGTATCAAAACCAAACAATGAGGCATTTAACACAGAGTTGTGGAATGTTGATGGCTGCTGTATTATATGATTTGGAGCAAATAATTAGAATATGTACATTTATACTTCAGTAAAGGCCATAGAGAAACCCAACAATCTATAAAAATATCGGCTTGTGCAGCTTTGAAGTTGGTATGTTTTATTTATGCTGGAAGTGCCCGAGTCTTGATTCTCCCAGTGAAAATGTGAATTCTCTTGTGTGCCGATGGTATGCCTTTGTTGTTATGTTCAGGAGGGAAACTTTTAACCACCTTGCTAGTTGGTTAGAAGATGCGAGGCAGCATGCAAATGCAAACATGTCCATAATGCTGATAGGAAACAAGTGTGATCTGGCTCACAGAAGAGCTGTAAGCACAGAAGAGGGCGAGCAGTTTGCCAGGGAACATGGCTTGATATTCATGGAAGCTTCCGCCAAAACAGCTCAGAATGTTGAAGAGGTGATGAAATCAGGGTGTTGCCACGATATATAGTAAATGAGCAAGCTGTTTTACAGGTTCTTTACAAACATAGTTGAAGGTTTGATATAATTATGTTCTCCTTGATTGCAGGCGTTTATAAAAACAGCCTCAACCATCTACAAGAAAATTCAAGATGGGGTTTTTGATGTATCAAATGAGGTGTGTAATGTTCTGATTACCACCTGAAATTTGCTCATGTTATACATACATACATACATATATATATATATAGACATACATTGCTATTATCATTTAAAATGGGAGGTGTCATAAAGTTCAGATGGGAGTTTGGCTAGGCTCGAAAAGTTTGCTAATAAGTCTATGTAAATGAGTAATTATTATAATAAATAACATCATTGAAAGGTTAAAGTTAAAAATAGGTAAGGTTACTTGGACGTTAAAGTGAGAGTTATCTTGAAAAAGTAACTTTCTTTACTTGAAAATTAAGGAAAAAACTAAGCTATCCAAACATGTTTGGAAACAACAACGTTACCTTTATATTTTTAAGCTAACCAAAAATGGCCTTGACAGATAGTTTTGCATTATCATATGGAGTTTTATTTAAGACTCCAAAATTAGTTTCTTGAATTCAACTGTGTTACTGAATTTAGAAGAGACAGGACTATTAAAGAATTCTGATAACTTGGTTCTTATCCCAGTCTTGGGATTTTCATTCGCTTGGTAGGATGACATTACTTACTACCGACCTTAATAGTTCTGATAACAAACTTGGCCGCTTTTGCCATAAACTTGTGGTCAATTATATTAATCTTGAATGTTTATATTAGAAGATTTAATACAATTAGATCAGGATCATATTACTTTGTAGGTTGAAATTAGCTAAAGTTGAAAGTAACGTGTGGTTTTTAATCTTATCATGGAAATCATTATTCATTTAATTCTTTAACTGAATGCAAGCTCTTTTTGTTGGTGTGTCTAGATTTATATATGTTTTAAAACAAGATGCTCGAAGAACAATCTTTTGTTTTCAGAACAAAATTTCCAAATTAAAAATGAGTATTCTTTTATACAAATAAAAAATCAATAATAATCATAAAAAAAAAATAATGTTATTATTTTAATAAATGTATATCCAGCTTTCTTGAAAAATGATTTATCAGTCTGTCATGTTTATTGCCGTCCTTCTTAGCGAAAATGACGTTCATGTCACGGCGTCATGTTTGATTATGCATCTCTTTTTTTTCCCCTCTCTAGTACCATACCCATCACAGAGGATGTAGTTTTTCAGGTGCATCGTAAACACAATGGATTTATATGCATTAACAAATTTAGTTAGTGTGCTTTCTTTCCTTGTATGCCCTTCTGGCACTAAAATATTGTTCCCTTGGTTTACTTTGCAGTCTTATGGAATCAAAGTTGGATATGGTGGAGTTCCAGGACATTCAGCAGGAAGAGATGGAGTGGCGTCTCAAGGAGGAGCATGCTGCAGTTGAATGTTGGAGTCAATTCTTTGAACATCTGGATCATTTAATTATTGTTTATTCTGATTCTACATAAGTCATACGTGTCTTTACAACTATTTTTTTTTTTTTTTTTTTTTTTTTTTGTTGGTATCGTCAAATGTGTAAAATTATAAAATGCCTATGGAATATGGTATTTGTCTTTGAATCTTGGTCATTACCTGACTTGGTGTACATCAGACGAGCTATAGAACAAATAATACAGGGTGAAATTCTCTGGCGTTAAATGGTCTTTATCTGCTTGTTTTTGAAAATAGTGTATATCTCTTCATCTATTTAGCTTCGTGCTCTGATTGGGTAAAGATCGATTTTCACTTTCTCTATACAGTATTTCTTTTAGACTAGAATTTCTTATGTTCTAATCTGATCAAATTTGTTTGCATTCATGTCTGAAAATAGTGACGATTGCCCTTGTGTTATGTCGGTTATGTTACATGTATATCCCAATTTACAAATTAGTTTATATACAGATGAGGTGATAAGATGTGATTAAATAAAAATTTCTTCAACCAAACAAAAAAAAAAAATTCCCACTCTCTTTTCAACACTTTATCAATCTATAAGACTTTTATGTAACTTCTTATGTACAAATAACATTATTTGTGTTATATATCAGTGCTACTAGTATTTGGATGATTTAATCTGTGTTGTAACTTTATTGGATTCTCAAAGATATTAATGAAAATGGTGCGATGTCAGAATTATTAGCTTAAATCTATAATCCCAAACTTGTTTTGTCAATATACTCTTGATACTTCAATACATCACCTTGTTAGTAAATGATAAGAATATTTGTGTCGAGATGTCAAAGAGCATTAGGAGACAGCCAAGAGGATATCAAATCTCAATCAGGAATTACATGTGAATTCGAAAAAAGTTTTTTATTAAGTGAATCAAAAACTGCCAAAAGAAAAATTCAATTGTTAAGCCAATAAATAATTTTCAATAAATTAATCAATCGTTTTATGATGACAACTCTTTTTTCTCGAACATATCGCCTTTATCAAATTTACATCGAGTATACTCCTTTTTTTTATCAAATGAATCAGTTATTAATTATATTTGAAAATGATCTGGCATTAAGTCCTGCTTCGGCCAAACTTTTTTGGACTAACAACTCTTTCAGAAATATTTTCCAGCACGTCCTAAATCCTAATGAAACGATGTTTCCTCCTGTTGAGGTCTCTTTCAAGATAAAACAGTGAACTCCTTAACCATTATCATCTCTTGGACTTGGACAGGAAGTAAAAATAAGCTTGCTAAGTACAATTTGTTTTCAACTTCGTGAAGTAAGGAATAACTACGCAACACAAAAACGCTATACGAAAGTGAAGAAGAAGAAAGACATGGAAGAACAAACGAAAATTGTAAAAAAAATCGCACATTTAGCATTATGAACATCTGAAAGCTTAACGGGTTCCAACGTGCTTAGCGACTATCATCGTTCTCTTGTCGATGCAAGATTTTATTAGCTTGCAGAATGGGATTCTTCCTGTAGTCAATTTTTATCGTCAAAGATAATTTCTTCAATCAATCTTCGTGGACAAGAAAAAAGTATTGAACAAAGTAGAACGATCAGAGGAAATCAATAGGGACGACAGAGCATAATTGCAACTGCCAATATAAGCCAGTAACCATTAGGATTTAGGACGTGTTGGAAAATATTTCTGATGGAGTATAAGAACACGTATAGTAACCAGGTAATTTATGGAGTATAAGAACACGTATTGGACAACCGAACCCAACGAATAGAATGCTTTCCACCACTATATCCAGTCATCAACACATAGATGCATATAGGTGAGGACAACCGACACTACAGCATATACAATGATACAATAAACAACAACAGAAGGACAATGAACAGGAAGCCGAAGACATAATGGAATCTTCCAAGCCAGATACTGGATAGGATGAAGAAAAGTTCAATAAAGACGGTCCCAAATGGTGTTGGAAATATTTGCATCACCGAGGAAAATGGAGAAAAACCAAAACCATAATATCGAGAAGATGAAATAGACAAGATGAAGATCAAAATGAATATGAAGGATCGAACGCGTAATCGCTGTCCTCAAACTGTATTTGCCCCCTCTTGGTTATAATTTGGTGCATAATGTTGGAAAAAATAATTAGTTGCAGTAGTGATCAGAACAATATAATGTAGAAATATAAAACTTATCGTCCGATCGAATCTCGTGACAGCAAGATGTCCTAAAATGAAATTGCCCGTCAATAATTGCTGCGACCTCCGTGGACAATCACTCCCAGGATACAACGATCGTAAACCACTTGTGCAGCAATCGCGAGTGGTTTTTCTAGAACTCTCAATTGTACTCCAGAGTAGATATAAAAACCCGAATATAAGAAATTCACAATATGAAAAGAGTGATTGATGCAAGATAATTTTTCTATTTTCTTTTTGTGTGTCTTTTCCCAAAACGAGATATGGGTTTATATAGGCAAGATGGTAGTAACAGTCTTCACCATGTTAATGCAGAATTTTAATAACTGAGTAGTGGGTGTTTTAATAGCAGTTAGTGGGTTGTTACAAAAACAAACAGTCATAAAATACTGGCTAATTTTACCCATTAAATAATAAAGAAAAAAATATTTATTTTAGTCAAGGAAGCCCAAAGCCCCAATCAAGACATTTTAATATCTGCGCGGGGAGTGATTCGAACCCCTGACGTCCCACACAAATATCACATTTTTCACCACTTTGACACTTTATCTAATTTGATTATTTCTTTCACATTTTATATTTATACCATAAATATATAACAATCCACCACATGAAAGAAATAAGATAAATGAAAATATTACTCTGGAGTACGGTAGAAATCATGCAGGCTTAGGTGTCTATCGACTTGAACCTTGGCTTTGTATATTCTATCGAGCTTACTAACTGTAGAGTGAATTATGTCTTGAACTCTACAATTATAGTTGCAAACTGAGACAATAGAACACACACATGATTTCTAGAACAGTCATTGAGTTCTCGCGGTTGTGTTCATTTCGGCCGTGAACTTTCCCAATTTCTTTGAGTGCTCTAAAGAATTCACCTCAATTCTCATAGGAAGCGGCCCCACTTCCACACTGAAATAAGTGCTACTATCAAGGGTGCACTGTATTTAAACACCCTACTGAATATCAGCTATAGTAAGCATTAAGAGTATTAGCTCATCCTCTAATCAATACAGTTGGTACTACGCATCATAGGGAGGGGTTTGGAATAAATCCAATGTAGTACCCCCACAGACCACTCCAATAACTTTGTTGTCCCATTGATCCTTGATCATGGGATCTCCAATTGCAAGGTTGAGTTTCCATTATAGGTGATCTAATACATAATAGGCTTTAGCCCCATCTCCCTCGATGTTTGTTGAATTAGCTCTCTAGCCAATCCTTTGGTTAATGCGTCAGCAATGTTATCACTTGACTTCACATAGTCAATAGCTATAATCACATCCTTAAGCAGCTGACGCACAGTATTGTGCCTCCTACGAATATGTCTAGACTTTCCATTGTAAGATGAATTTTGAGCTCTTGAGATAGCTGCTTGACTGTCACAATGTATTGAAATAGTTGGAAATGGTTTAGACCACAAAGGAACATCCATAAGAAAATTCCTTAACCATTCAGCCTCCTCACCTGCTTTATCTAAAGCTATGAACTCAGATTCCATAATAGATCTAGCAATGCATGTTTGCTTAGTGGATTTCCAGGAGACAGCTTCGCCTGCTAATGTAAATACATATCCACTTGTAAATTTACTTTCGTTGGTATCGGAAATCCAATTAGCATCACAATATCCCTCAAGTATAGCAGGGAATTTGGTATAATGTATTCCCCAGTCTAGAGTATATCTCAAATACCTCAAGACTCGAATAAGAGCATCCTAATGTTCATTGTTAGGATTACTAGTATACCTGCTAAGTCTACTGACAGCATATGCTATATCAGGTCTTGTACAGTTCATGAGATACATGAGACTGCCGATTACTTTAGCATACTCTAAAGCGGAAACACTAGGACCTGAATGTTTTCTCAAATGACGACTTGCATTATAAGGTGTTTTAGCAGGAATACAGTTGTATTGATTAAACTTCTTAAGCACTTTTTCTACATAATGTGATTGGGTCAAAATAATTCCTTCAGAATGTTTTACTATTTTGATTCCTAGAATAACATCAACAACACCCAAATCTTTCATTTCAAAGTGCTTGTTTAGAAACCGCTTAGTTTTATTAACTACATCTAAACTAGTTCCCATAATCAGCATATCATCAACATATAAGCAAATTATCACACCACAATTATTTTCAAATTTGCTATATATGCATTTATCTGCTTCATTTATCACATAACCACTTGATGTCAAAACTGTATCAAATTTTTCGTGCCATTGTTTAGGAGCTTGTTTAAGGCCATAAAGGGATTTTTTAAGTCTACATACTTTATCCTCAAGGCCTTCTACAACAAATCCTTTAGGCTGATCCATATAAATCTCCTCTTTTAAGTCTCCATTTAAAAATGCAGTTTTGACATCCATTTGATGTATAATAAGATCATACAGTGAGGCAATTGCAATTAACATCCTAATAGAGGTAATCCTAGTAACGGGTGAATAAGTATCAAAGAAGTCAACTCCTTCCTTTTGTTTATAACCTTTAGCTACAAGTCTTGCTTTATACTTATCAATTGAACCATCAGGTTTAAGTTTTTTCTTAAACAACCATCTGCACCCAATTGTCTTACATCCTTGAGGTAAGTCCACTAACTCCCAAGTATTATTAGACATAATTGAATCATATTCACTATTTACAGCTTCCTTCCAAAATATTGAATCTGGTGAAAACATAGCTTTACCAAAAGTACTAGGATCATCCTCTACTAAGTAGGTTATAAAGTCAGGACCGAAAGAAGTAGTGGTCCTAGGTCTTTTGCTTCTCCTAATTTCAGCTTCTTCTAATTCAGATGGCTCCTCTCTAACACTAGGAGGAATACTAAAAGAACTGCTTGATCCTTCAGACTATTCTTTAAACGGAAATCTATTTTCAAAAAATTCAGCATCTCTAGTTTCAAATATGTGTTCTTTTCAATCAAATTATTTTTAGAGCCAATGACTAAAAATCTGTAGGCATTACTATGAAAAGCATACCCTATAAAAATACAATCAACAGTTTTCGGACCAAGTTTAGTTCTCTTAGGTGCTGGAATAGAAGCTTTAGCTAAACACC